GGCTTCTAGCTGTAAAAGCACCATGGCTGGAGCCCTAGGAGGCCCCTATATAAGGCTGCAGGTCCAGCAGTTGCTGGCCCCAGCCTCCCCTACCCCACCCAGGGTTAACCTGCCACGTGCCAGAGCACGTGTGGCAAGGGCGTTCCCTGGTCCATGCTCATGTGGATATGGCCATGAGGAATGGATTATGGGAGTGGTGAATTTTGTTACCTGTTACGCTCCAATCTAGGTTATCATTATAACTGTCAAACTTAAGTTCTCTCTCTCTCTCCACACCAAGCAGGGAAACTAAGCAATTTGACTGTGTTTGTAATAGGAAGTACTAGCTTCCCCTAACTATTGTAGATAGCTTGCACATCACTCCATTTTAGTGGCCAGGAAAAAAACTATACTTTTTTCTAGTGCAGGAACGCTCAACCCCTGGCCCGCAGGCCAGATATGGCTCCCCACTGCCATATCATGGGAACCTTGTGATCATGAGTGTTGTGGGTAACTGATCCCAACATGTGAAGCCTGATCCCAGGAACGTACAGGCCAGCTGAGGCCATGCAGGCTTGACCTGGGCATGCCTGGGCCAGCCAAGTCCACCTGGGCCCAATCTTGCCCTACCAGGGTTTGATCTCTCACAGACTGGTCCCACACCACTCATCTGGCTCACAGGACCATAAGGTTGAGTGTCACTATTCAAACTTCATGTCTTCTCTGGAGCATGAGAGAAAGGCAATACGGTCTTATGTATAACAGGGTGCTGGGCCTCTTACCACCTCCTCTTTGGTGCACATGTGATGTGTTACCATGAGCCAGACGCAGTTCTTCTTCTGTACTTCATAGCCGCTGCTATCCTGGCAAAGAGCAGCAGGGATTAGAGCAGTGGGGCTGGCACAGAAACCTCCACATTTTGCTTTCTTGCCTCTGGGGATGAGGCTCTAAGGCAGGGATAGGTAATTATTTCAGCTGGAGGGCCACTTAACGAGTTTTGTTGGGCTGAGGGCCGCAATGGTAGCCCCACCCCTTGGTTGCCATGTTGGGACTAGAAGTCCTGTCACTGAAACCATGATCTTTACCACCGAAAGTCCCTCCCCCTTGCTCCTGGAAGTATTCTTTTTGGGAGGGATTTGCCGTCTTGGAACTACAAAAAAAAAAATCATATACTAGAAGTCAAAGATCTACTATATTGTATTTTATTTCAAAAAATATTTTTGTCTTGATTTATATATGCTTGTGCAGTGTATATAGAGGTGATTGCATAAAAGTTCAAAAATAAAGTCTTACTTTGCCACATTGTGTGTGTGGAGGGGGTAGGGGGACATGCATGGTGGAGTCAGGGGGGTTGTGAGAAGGTATGGCTGGGGGGCAGGGGGGCTCCCGGGACTCCTGCACCACTGGCAGGGAAGCCCCATGCTTTGGAGCTGGCTGCCCTCCTCACTCCCTGCATATGGCAACCCTCTCCAAAGGGCAGGGCAGGGCTTCCCCCTGTGGCACAGAACTGGCTGGAGCCACCTGCCCCTGCTCTGGCAAAGCCCACAAGCATCCCAAAGGCCAACTGCCTGCTGCTGCTGTCCGAGTGTGAGCTCCGTGCTCCCACCGCCCTGCTGGGTGCAGACCCTGGACTCCATGCTCCCTCCCAGCTACACCTTCCCCATGTGCTGCCCAGAGCAAGCGCTGCAGCAAGGACAGGGCGAGGGCACGCTTGGGACCGGGGAACCCTACTCAGAAGCTGCGTGCGGCTCGCTCGGACCTCACAGGAAGGCAGGGCCGAAGAGCCCTCACGCAGGTACCGCGCCCTGCTGAACGCAAAAGCATCCCTGCCCCAAACACTTCCGCCCCGGGGCCCGCCGGCGGGGGGGTGACAGGTCGGGGACACTCACGGCGGCGGCGGGCGGGACCTGCGCGAGGAGCACGCGGCCAGAGCACGAGCTCGTGGTGCAGAACCGGTCCTGGCCGTTGAGCAGCTGCACAAGGCCCGCGACGGGCAGGTCCAGGCGGCCCTTGCGGCTCATGTCTGCCCGCGCCAAGCGCTGCTCCCGCCACAGCCCGAACGCGGCCGCGGCCATAACGGCAACAGGGAGCGGAGGGGGAATGGAAGCCCGCCTGGGCCAAACCTCTTCACCGCCGCGGAAGGGGAGGAGCTTTGTTCGGCGCAGCTGAGTTGGGGCCGGAAGGGGCCAGAGAAGACCGGAAATAGGGGCGTGGCTTGCGGTCGGGGTGTCCCCTGGCCTGAGGCGCGGTTTGGCCGAGTTCGTGGTGTACTAACGTCTCGCCCGTCGAGGTACAAATCAGAGCGGTTTTGGCCGCCCCGAAGCGGCGCTGACCCCCGGCTCGGAGCACCTGGTGTTTCTTTGCGCGGTTTGCTCCGTGATCTTGTTTGTAGCGAGTGGACCACTACCCAGGCGCGTCCTTCCTAGCAGAGGTGGCCAATCCTGTGGCAGGCAGGAGTGCTGCGAGGCGGGCTGGGGAGGGGCCTGCAGGCAGCGTAGCAGCCCCTAGGGCAGGATCCTGGGTAGGGGGCACGGAGCAGAAGAGCGAGTAAAGCGGGGGATGGGAGTGGGACTTGGCAAGGGGGCAGCACTGAGGCTGGGTCTCGTGGCTTGAGACAGCCGCGCTTCGTAAATTCATCCTGGTTTGGCTTATGGAGCAGATAGTTATGCAGACGTAATCATAAACTTTGCATCTGGGAATAAACTGTGGTTTGACAGTACAGTAAGCACACAGGACAGGATAAAATATCTATCGCTTTATATATAAATATACACACATTTTATATAAAGATATAGATGTATATACAGTGTGTGTGTGTGTGTGTGTGTGTGTGTGTGTATCTATATATATCCATACACACACACACTATATATATATCTCTAGATATATAGAAAATGTGTGTGTGTGTGTGTGTGTGTGTATCTATATATATCCATACACACACACACTATATATATATCTCTAGATATATAGAAAATGTGTGTGTGTGTGTGTGTGTGTGTATCTATATATATCCATACACACACACACTATATATATATATCTAGATATATAGAAAATGTGTGTGTGTGTGTATCTGTCTATAGATAGATATATATCTATGATCTTGGGGGCCTTGGCACCCGTGCCTGACAGAGATCCATGTCTCTTAAGTTCAGCTGGAGTTTTTTCTGCCCTGGGCTGCAAGTGATATCTCTGTTAGAGGTATGAATGTGTGTCAAACTCCGGCATATGAGATACAAAAATTATATTTGATGAAATGTTAAAACTTTACTGCAGGACTCTGTCCACTAGGGGGAACTCTATGCAGACTTAATTATTTACCTGGGAAGCCTTTAGGTACAAAACATTTATGCATGCAGTAGGGACACAGCCCTTCTGCTACCCTACTTGGAAGATGGCCTGTGTGAGGCAGGTGCGGTGTGTTTTCAAATGGAGCTTCCTGTGGCATCTGCATTTGAGTGGTGTGGATGTGGCCAGAGTTTTCTTTCTTTCTTCCTTTTCTTTTTCTTTTTTTTCTTAGATCAGGATCTGCATATGCTGTAAATGTGGGTGAGGATTTTTTGAGGAAATTTTCTGTTTTGGAGATGATATGGAGGGAGAAGCAGCAGTATACCAAGGCAGCATTCTGCTCTGCAAGGTAGTGAGCTGGAGCTAGTAGTGAGCACAGAAAGGGTTGAAGAAGTACTAGGACATACATGCAGTATTGGGACCCAAGTGTCTGCACTGACAGTTTAAATGAGCTGCTGCTTTTTAACTAAACTCTCTTTTTTTAAGTCATTCTTACATAACTCCTTTTCTGCTGTTCCTACACATCTAACTGAAACCTTGTCTGTTCTCTGATAATATAGTGCAGTTTGTATCAAAGTAGGCATGTCAAAGATAGAGCCTGCAGACTGCAGCGCCACATCTTCTGGTCCCCAGTGCTCTAGCCCTGCACAGTTCCAGTCTGGGACCTCCCTGCATGCTGGATCCAGTGCTCACTCTGAATGGTGTGGGATATAAGCTGCATGTGGCCTCCACTCCAGGTAGTCTGGGGTGGGTGCTGCATGCCGCACAGGTCCTGGATCAGCCAGAACAAGTGTTGGATTCACCTTGTGAGGGTGGCTCCGTTGGTCCTCTGCGTGCTGCAGCTGGTTGGGGGCTGCAGCTGGTTGGGGACTACATCAGATGCAGTGCCTGTTTAAGCCAGCCTGAGAGCGACACTGCATGCATTGTTCACCTTGGACTGTCTGCATGTGGCTTGCAATCTGATCTGGCCATGTGTGGTGCAGTTCACCCCCTCCTCCTGCCCCCAATCCAGCCAGAGTGAGTGCCAGGGATCCTAAATCTGATATGGTGTGAGCAGCAGGGGATGAGGTTGGTAAGCACTGTTAGGTGCGCAGACATTATTCACAAGATTGCAAATGAGAACTTATAGTATTGAAAACATTCTGACCTGTTGTAGGCTTTATGAGTTATTTGCAGCCAAAAAATTGCTCTTATTTTTCTGTAGTCAGATAACAAGTGAAAGCTAAGAAATGGTATTTTTGAGGGGTGCCTTCAGTCTATGAGGGTTGAGATTTGTTGTTATAGACCATGGCTGTCACTTAGTTTTGACTTACTAAAATGTTTTGATATAACTAATATTACCTTAAATATGCACTTTATTATCACAACTATTTATTTTGGAATTTTGTGTAAAATGGAAATTTTGATGACCAGCTGCAAACATTACCTGTCTCCTATGCAATGCCGAGAACAAAGCCAGCATTTCTAATGAAGATGGAGGTTTTGCAGTCTGGTTTAGGAGAATGGGTGGTGTAGGGGAGAGTTTCCTTGCTGCAGCCTCAGGGCTTTTCTTGACCCAAGAACCCCCCACAAGGAGATTGTCTCCTTCCCTGGCTATTTCTAGGTGCTAGTCTGTCCAGCAAGATTCTACCTAGACAGTCATCCTTTCAGTGCAACTTTTTTGTTTTCATGGTGTTGATGTGCTTGTCTTTCACCAATATGTAGATGAAAGAATAGGTGGATGTAACCATGCTCTCTGTAACCTAACTATAAAAGTCTTTGTTCTGTTTTTAAGCATTCCTGCAACATATATTCTTTTTGATGGGTGTTTTTAGTATTTGATGTATTAACTATACTTATTCTCTGGCTATGTATTCAATTTTTCTAGCTTCCTGCAGAATGTTTTAATACCCCAATGCATCTTTTATTTATCATTTGGCAACATGTTAAATTAAAAAATAAAAGGAACAGAGGATAGAAGGTTATTTTGTCAGACTAGCTGATCAGTTAATTTATGACCTGGCTTTTATCAGCAAAATTGGAAATTCACGTTTTCAATTCAGTTTGCCCTGTTAAATGCACTCTATCTTTGACACCCTGTACATTTAATACTAGAACTACTGCATTCATATTTTATATTTGTTTTAATGTTTGATTCGCTTTAAAATCCGTCTGCCTCCACAGATGATGGTGGCAATTCTCTTTCTTTGCACAGTTTGTAAAACAGAAGTCCCAAATGAAAGCAATAGTGAACCTCTAATTTAAACTGCAGTTTAAGAATGTGTTGTTTGATCCCTTTCCTCTGAAATGAAAGCTGGATATAGAACAAAATGCAGTGTTTTCTTTCTTCAGGTATTCAGATCACTATGGCAACTGCAAGAAACATGATGAGAGCTGTCAGAGTTTTTGAGTTTGGTGGACCTGAAGTGCTTAAGCTCCAGTCAGATGTCTTGCTGCCTGTTCCAAAAGAAAACCAGGTGGAAATGATGTCTGCAAGCTGAAATAATTGCAATGAATAGTAATGTCTTGAGTGTGTGAATTGAGTGAGTGTCTAAAGCTGGACCGTTTTAAGTGTAGCTCACCTTTTTCATCAGATTTAACTAATGCAGTTTTCCAGTGTGGTCTTTATGTCAAATAAAAAAGATTTTCCAAAAGCATCACCTCCATTCTCTATAACCTTCTTTTTAATACTTATGTCATTTTTCTCAACTAAGTGACATAACTTGAAATCTAACTGAGCTTCCCTGTGCAGGTTTGTACCTTGCCTCATAATAAGGGGTTTATTTTTTTTTGCAGAGAATATTTTGTAGTTAGAACCATTCCCCTTTAAAGGAGGAAGGTGCAGATTTGAAGCCAGTGCATCCTGTGCACTGTTGAGCAAAACAGTTCATTGTCAAGTGAAAGTGATCTGTGATGTTGATTCAAAATGTTAGTGGCTGTAATGACTCAGGAATGAACAACAGTTTCTTTTCAGGTTTTAATCAAAGTCCATGCATGTGGAGTAAACCCTGTGGAGACATACATTCGTTCTGGTGCATATTCTAGAAAGTCACCATTGCCGTATACGCCTGGCTCTGATGTGGCTGGAGTAATTGAAGCAGTCGGGGAACATGTCACTTTATTCAAGGTATTATGTTTTGTTTGTTAATTGTTTGTGTGTTCTTTCCTTATGTTGTTGGTGCAATAGGGTACTGTTCAGTATAACTCTAAGTTGAAGTCTTAAGCATTTCCTCTGTGGGGGGAAGCTTTTAATTAACTCTGCAGAAGGTCAGACTAGCAGTCCTGGCTTTGCAAACTGCTCTGCAGACAGACCCTTACTCCTGTGTGGAGCTCAATAGAAGTCAGGAGAATATAGTACAGGGTAAGGTGTCCATCTTCATGGAGAAGTGTTGTAAGATTGGGGTCTAGTTTACAAAATGGTGGTCCAAAAGCATGTTTATATATTATAGGAGTAACTTGACATTGCTCCTGTTAGTGATAACAACTATGTCCTGAGTTTTCAGACTGCTGTAGTGACTCTTTACTAGCCCTATCCTGGCCAAGTAGTAATGTTAAGTTATTTTACTGATGTTTAAAACAGCTTGTAATGATGAGAAAGAAGCCCCCTGTAAGATGTATTTGTGGATAAGTGTATTTACATAGTTGATGTCTCATAATAGTTTGGTTTCACCTCTTCCCCTTTGGTTAGATCACATTTGGTCATATGGAGAAAATTGTGGAAAGGGAAAAGACTGGTTATCAAACTAATGAGAGGAATGAGTTGTGTTTTGTTTTTTTTTAATTGGCTCTTCCCTCTCATTTCTTATTTACTAGTTACCTTGGGGTTTGTTAAGAATAAATGCTTCTCAAATTTAGTAAAATAGTTAAGAAATACTTCTTATACTGTACTCTTGTGAAATATTTGGAACTTTGTCTTTGGATGTTTCAGATGGAACTCGAGTTTATTAAGGATGATTTTGTGTTTTGGTATTGAAGGTACTGGTGTATACTATGCACATGTTTTTTAAATCAAACTATACAAAGTTATGTGGCTTGTGATGCGTACACTTCACTGATCGGGTTGAATCAAAATCTAATCTAGGAGGAAAACATTTGATAATAATGCTATACAACATACTTTGACTTAAGTACTATGAATGTGTGATTAAACTTTTTTCACTTCCTTCCTACCAGAAAGGTGACAGGGTTTTTACCAGTGGTACCATCTCTGGTGGCTATGCAGACTATGCAGTTGCTTCAACTGACACCGTCTTCCCTTTGTCAGATAAACTGGACTTCAAGCAAGGTGCAGCCATTGGGATCCCATATTTCACTGCTTTCCATGCTCTCTTTCAAAAGTAAGAATGCAAACTTGGCTTATACCTATTGTTTTTCAGAACTGATTTTGGAAAATAAAAAATACGTCATTAACAAGCTAAGGTCATTTTAACTTTTGGGAATGATACAGGCCTCAACTACTCTGTTTTGTTAAGAGATGGGGGGTAGGGCAGTAATTAGAAGAAGACTTTAAGGAATCTTGGGGGATTAAATTCATTAATTAAATTAACACATTAACTAAAGGATTGTGATCTGGAGGTTATTAGCAATATTTTTCTTTTAAGACTGCATTTTTAAGACTAAAGGGCTTATAGACCTGAAATGGGAACTTTTTTTCTTATTTATCTATAATAATATAAGCAAATAATTCTTTTTCCTCTTACCACACTTTAATTCACTACTCCTCTATCTGAGTAGCATTAGACAGAAGTCACTGAAAACATTATTTTTGTGTCTTATTTGAAGCAGAGTTGGTGCTGAGTAACCCAGTCTCCCTGTCACGTTTTCAGGGCAACATTGGAAGAACTCCTACTGTAGCTTCTGTGCATATATGTGTATATAAACATGTCCATCACTGGCATAATTTAATAAATTTGTATAAGTGTGTCCTGTCTGCTGGGGGATGAGAGGTCAGGACTGGGAATCCAGTGTATAGATAAAGGGTGCCAAACTTGTCTGATCTTGGAGCTGCATGTGAACCTTGGGGCTCCTTGTAGACTGCATCTGGACTGCAAGGAGCCTTGCTAGGTGCATCTGAATGCATATCCGGTGGCAGTGTAAATAATATTGGGTAGCCTCAGGGGTTAACATGGACATCAGTCACCCTGCCATCACCCAAACATGTCCCCAGTGGGACTCCATATCTGGGTTGTTGGCAATTGTGCCTGCCAATGTTTGCCTCACCCCTTACTGCTTGCCCTGCCACTGCTTGCCCCATCCCTGAATTCTTGGTCCTTTCAGGAGCCCCACTGGCCAGATGATACTGGTCCACAAGCTGTATCTTTGACACCTCTGGTCTAGATCATCTGGGAGAACAAAGCATTAGGCCAGTTAGTTTTTCCTTTTGTGTGTGGCTTATTTTGATATCTGGAACAACTGAAGATGTTAAAGGAAATGTTGTTTTGAATACAAGGTTGTAGTTAATATGTCCATATAGCAAAGATGTTCTGGTTCAGTCTGCATATTGATCTTATTCGGCAGGGATTGTCAACAGGGGGGTATGCCCACCCCTGGCGGTATGCATGGGCAGGCAGAGACGGAGCACCACCACGCACCATCCTGTGCTGCTGCACAAGTGCCGCCCGCCTGGCCAGACACGGGGGCAGGGGAATCTGCATTTGTCCATGCACCACCCCTCCCTTCTCGCTTATCTGGCCGTCAGGGGTACACTTCTCCATGTCTGGCCACCAGAGGTACACTGATCCAAAAAGGTTGAAAACCCCTGTTATTTGGAAATGGTATAATTGGTGTATGTATATATGTATGTATATATGTTATCTTCTCTCCACCAAATGGCCTGCTGCTTCTAATCCCAGAAAAACTCCAATGTCAAAGTAGAGCGAGAGGTGAAAAGGGCGTGTTGAATATATTGATGAATTTTATAATGTGACTAATCACACACTGACTGTTAATAAAAAATGAAAATCTTAATTTGTCACTTTGCCTTTCAGAGGACGTGCCAAAGCTGGAGAAAGTGTGCTAGTCCATGGAGCAAGTGGTGGAGTAAGTACCTTGAGAGCACCTAAGTTATGAAGAATTTTGCATGTGTTTACATATATGTATTTTTGTTGATGGTGTAAGTAAATGAAGAAGAATACCCCAAAGAAGATAAGATAATTCTTGGTGATTTCAGTTCTAGAGTGTGCTCAGAGCTATGGAAAGGAACACTTGGAAAGGAAGAACTGGGGGAAGTCAATTCAAATGGAATTTTGCTGAGCAAGTGTTTGAAACATGACATCATCATAAATTCCTTATTCTGCCAGAGCAACAAATGGAAGCATCATGGATGAATCCCACTCAAAATACTGGCATCCAGTTGACTGTGTCATAGCACATGCCCAGGACTGCCGTGACATCCATATCAGTGGAGCTGTGAGCAGTGCAGACAACTTCTGGATGAATCATAGTTTAATATATTCCATTATGTCCATTCGTATCACCCCAAAACAATGTAAACAAAAAAAGGAACCAAGGAAGAGGTTCAATATAGTGGTTGAAAGACCCTTCTAAAAGCAGTCATCTTTGGCAGTTTCTCACTGAAAATCTCTGACCTCCCTGATGATCTTGATGCCACTCATCACTAGGAGAACTTCAAGAAAGGCATCTGTGAAGTGTGTGAAGAATCTCTAAGCTCCATAAAGAAGCATCAGGACTGGTTCAGTGAGAATGATGGGGGAATTCAAGCTCTCTGATAGGGAAAAAAAAGAGCTTTCAAAGCTTGGCAGAATAACATCAACTCAAAACAGAAGCACAACTGTACAAATTAGCATGCAGACTGGAGTGCTGCTCTTAGTTAGGCTACTTAGATCATGTGTAGTAAATCTTCTGGTGTAGGCACAAAAGGGAGAATTGTTAGAAGATGGTGATTCAAAAACGCTATTGCCAGTCTTTCTAAGAAAACTTAGAGGAAATATTGCAATTTTCAGAGTTACATGTGGTTTCCAGATTTCTGTAAGGATTCACTGTTTGGATAGCAACTAGCATTCATAAACTGTTTCTTTCCCATGAACTGTTACCTAGCTAGAAAATGGGAGATGCTGAAAAGTCTCACAGAAGATTGGACTTTAAATGTCCTGAAATTATCTTTCCTCTCTACAAAAGACTGATCTTTGACTGAACTAGAAGGCTAAGTAAACATAATTAAATTTAGTTTAATTATGGGCACGCCCTGCCCCCTCCTTCCAATGATGGGGAACAAAAACTATTGTAAGCTATTGATGACTGTATCCAGTTTTCACTATTTCTTACTGCAGGATGAGTATAGCAGCGTATCACATGGACTAGAGAAAGTATTTACTTGCAAGGCTGGTTCAAACGAGCATGAAACTCTGCAATCCCAGAAGGTCCCAGTTCAGGAGTGAAGTCTGCTCATGCTTGTTCCTCATTCCTGTGTACCACATAAGCAGTGACTGTGAAAATACTGAGCTTGTGGTGTGCCTTGGAGTCCTGAACTCTGCTTGGACTTATACACCACCAAGACTTTTGACCTGCTTGGTACTTGCTGTCTTACCTCCTGCCACACTGATACGAAGGACTCAGAAGGTGTGGGAATGGGCATGGAGAGGGAAGCCTCCACTCAACCTCCAAAAGTTGCTGCCAATTAAACTGCTCCCACTTGGGAGTTCCTCTATGACTTCCTTACTTTCTGGCTGCTGCCCTACACAGGACTGTCTTTAGCTTTTTTATACTGAGGTGTAGTTTCCCAGGAATTGGCAGGAGGGAAATGAGCTTAGGGAGTCTAATCTGTTTGTGATGGTTTCTGAGGCTTGAGGAAGTTGGTGTTAAAAGGCCCTAACTTGCGGTCAGAGTCAGTGTTGTAGTACAAGATGAGTGCTATGGGACTCATCTGTCTCTGGGAAGAGAAGAAAACTTAATGTGTGTTTCCTTGCATTCATGGTTTTGTCAGGCATGTACTGTGTGTATGCCAGTTCTAGCTGGTATACAGCATTGTGTGTGTGTGTGTGTGTGCAAATCAAACACAGGATAACTATTAAAAAAACCAAAAAAACAAACCCAAAATGGCACTGTTATGGTAGAGAGTATCCTTTAGTTGCATCTGCTTTTTTTAGATGGCTTGAGTGCCAATATTTAAGTGATTTGTTATGTGTAAAAATGTGCTGTTAATTACTTTATTTGAAATTTAAAGTACTGAGCGTCTGGTAGATGTTTAAACTAAGAGGCAAAACAAATAGAAAGAGGAATGTAACTCTTATATTTCCAGGTTGGAATAGCAACATGCCAGATTGCCCGAGCTTATGGCTTAAAAGTTTTGGGTACAGCCGGAACGCCGGAAGGAATGAACATTGTTTTGAGAAATGGAGCCCACAAAGTATTCAATCACAGAGAAGCTGATTATGTTGATAAGATTAAGGTAACTAGCTGTCAGATTTAGATGATCTAATAGGTTGGTTTTTTTACTGCTAGCTTTTTATGAAAGGTGAACAGCTGTTTACTTGCATGTTTTTCACTTGTTTCCTCCTGAATTGAGATTAGTGTTCCATAGGAGTGAGCCATTGGAGCAAAGGGTACGCAGGCTTTCAGGTCCTGCTCAAAGGACATGAATAGTAACAGTATTGAACAATAAACAATGCAAATTTGTTTATGATTGGTTACTACTTGCAATTGAACAGTGGAATCAGGGTGTCAGACTCTTCACTTTTCCTTTAGTCTCACTTGGAGCCATTCATTAAATGTGCCTTATGGTGGCCATTGCAGTTGCAAGGTAACTTCCCTGGAGTTTTGCATGCTATATGCTGTTCCAACTGGAAAAACTTAGAGCATTTAGAAATTCTACTTCTCATCAAGTAACAATACAAGAGGTAAATTTAGTATCACATTAGACATTTGACATATAAAAATCCTAGGTTACTAATAATATGTGAAACAGAACTCACATTTGATTGTTGTTCTCTGGTTAGCTAATCTGTATATTTTTATATCCTACACAGGAATTCATTGGCATGCAGGGAGTTGATGTGATAATAGAAATGCTAGCTAACGTCAATCTTGCCACTGATTTGCATCTGCTGTCACAGGGAGGAAGGGTGATGGTAAGTGTTTTCTCATCTTTGCCTTCACATTAAGTTTTGAAATTGTTGAAAAGATACTTTTTGATGGTCTTAACTGTTTTGCAACAGATAGTGGGCAGTAGAGGTCCTATTGAGATCAGTCCAAGAGATACTATGAGTAAAGAATCCAGCGTAATTGGGGTCGCCTTATTTTCAGCAACTAAGGTAAAGAAATACGCACTTCTGATTTAAAATGTTCACTTAAAACATTTTTGAATAGCTTTATTGTGTTTTAACTGAAAGTACATTAAGTTGATAAAATATTTAACAAAATAGCCTAATTCTGTTCGATTGAGAAATAGGGGCGCAGTTTACTAGCAACTAATATAAATTCTATTTGTCTAATGGGACACACAGAAGAACTAACAAATCTCAGGGATGCATTTGAACCGTGAACTTTAGATTGCTACTAGTATTAAGTGCGTATCAGGTAAATCTTGTCTTTGTTACACAGGAGGAGATGCGTCAGTGTGCTGCAGCACTTCTTGCTGGCATAGAAGCCAGCTGGCTGAGACCAGTCATTGGCCCTGAGTATCCATTGGAGAAAGTGGCTAAGGCTCATGAAAACCTCATTCACAGCAGTGGTGCCTTGGGAAAGATGGTGCTCCTAATCTGAGAAGTTATGTAAAATAAAGTCTTTTCCCACTTAAACTGTGGTTTTCTTGCCATACATTTATATGGCTCATTTATCACATTTTGTAAACTATGCTAGTGATCAGATTTTACAGTAAGAGCAAGCGCTAGTGCAGACAGAGAACAGTATAAAGAAAAGAATTTATTTATAATGAAAATCAGTGATCCAGTATTAAGTGCTGCTTTGATTTGGAAATATCTCCCCTCTGTTGTGGTCTTGTGACAGAGTGGAGCACTGACATCCAGGCTGAAATGTGCCACTGTGCTCTACTACATACTCTGCTTGAAGGCCCTGAAAAATTTCAGCTAGTGCAGAATATAGCTTTCAGTGGGCACATCTAGTACGAGGCATTTTACTGTGGAGCTGACTAATTAGTTCTGCAGTAAAGTGTCAGTGAGATGTTTACTGCATCCCTATTAGGCCACAGTAAACTAATAAATGCCACCGTAGGATCGTACTTGTGCCCAGCCAGTCCCTCTGCAGCGCTTTGAGCCAGGGGAGCAGCCCCGGGTTGGCAGGCTGCCCCACCTCACACCCCTCTCCCGTGGGCTTCCTGTCAGCTGGGGCTGCTCTGACTTGGCTCAACATGTTGCACTCCCAGGTGCATGTGTAGACGTGGCACCCGGGAGCAATAAACTCATCCCGAACTGCACTAGAGTTTATGCAGTCACATTAATTGCATGCATAGATGCAGCCAGTCTGTTTCAATGAGGGACAAAGTGTGTAATTAGACTCCATGAATTCCTTAGTTTTAGATTTGTCATATTATTTACTGTCTGCCACAGAATTGTGCTTCAGAACCAGAGCTCTGATTTTCAAATGGCTAATTCTCTACCTCTTATGGTTGTCAAGAGCCTCCTAGATGTAGATGCAGGATGTAGCCTGAATGTAGACTGAGCAATAACACTGCCTCTATTTATCTCAAGCAGTATCGAGGGAGAGGTGCTGTTGCCCTTGTAATTTCAATGAGATGGTAACTTTAAAGCCCAGCATTGGTGTTACCATCTTAAAGCTGATTGTTTTGGTTGATTCTGTGTGGTTCAATTGGGTGACTAATAAGAAGTTCATTTCTTCCCAGCACTTCACTATGAATTTAAAATCCCATTGGCCCTTGCCTAAAATGGGAGTGAAAAAGGAGATATGCCTTCCTGGGTGTTAAAAAGTCAACCTTCCCTCCCCTAATCAGCAGGCCCTTATAAATACAAAATTCACATTGAAAATGTGTTCACTTTGTAGAATAAATGAATGCAGGGTAAATTGATGACTGCTGTACTGATTTTTTTTTAATTAGGATTTTGTGGCTAATCTGATTTTAAAAAAAAAAATCTCTGTGCTACAGAACGTACGGGTGCTGCACCAGGGACTTTACAGCAGATATCAGGCCCAGATTGCTCTTTTTTTAGTCTTGTTCAATACTCATTACATGAATGAGTTGAATCTGTTGATCTTGGGGCTTGGGACTAGTATTAAGGACTTTATTTTTATGTAATATTTGGAGATATTAATAAATGCTAACCAACTGCACTAGAAGGCTGGATTTTATTTTCTTCGCTTCTATCGTTTACTGAACAGGGGAACAAAGCAGAGTTTTTCTGCCTATTCTGAGATGTACCATCAAGCTTCTGGTAGTCAATAACAGCAGAATAGAACTCCTGAGCTTATAGGAGGGGACTACTGTACCAGTGGATCAAAGGCAATAAACTATTGATTATTAGCAGCATAGACCAGAGGTTTTCAACCTCTTCTGGTCAAGTCAGGATGCAGGCAGTCCCCCAGCAGCCGGTTGACGAGCGAGGTGATCCCTCTTGGTGCCCATGTGGCGTGCAGCAACAAAACCAGAAGTGCTGGTGGCTTCTCCGTGTCGCTGCCACATACTCTCTGAGGCCTTCCAGACTACCCTTAGGGGTGCACGTACCCCCACCCCCGGTTGAAAAACCCTGGCATAGACATTTAATCAATACGTTTGTCCTCCTTGTCTGCAAATGTAGTTGGTCATTCTGGGTTTACTTCATTGTCTAGGACAGCAGTTCCCAACCTCAATGAGGGTTGTGGGGGTGGTGCCGGTGGTGCTGCACACAAAGGATGAGCTGTGCCGTGAGTTCCCCCGCTCCCAGGCTGCTGTCGTCACCACGCTCGGCTCCGATCAGTGGGTTGCTGCAAAAAGGGTTGGGAGCCACTGGTTTAGGACATCACATGGAATTGTTTGGTCAATAGTTCTAAATACCAATGCATCTTGGAACAGATTCATACTGCATTGTCTAGTCCTTTTTTTCAGTTACGCTGAAAGCAGTTTGATCTGCCAAGAGAGTCTCTTGCTATAAAAATCTTTTACGGTTTTGTAATGTTTGGTGTGAAATCTGTTTTGAATTCAACTGGGGTAAAATTAGAAACACTTGCTTTGTGAATATGATAGAATTATCATTCAAAGGGGAGGGAAGACGTTTGTTGTGGTGTATCAAACAGGAACATGGCCACTTGAAAGCTGTCACTTAAGAAATATCCTAACCCACCAAAGGCCCTTTCTCACTTGTGAGGAGTCTGTATTAAGTACAGTTAGCTGACATCAGCCTTTGTTCTTTTAATTCAATGCTCCTCCTTTTTTGGAATGGATTCCTTTAAATTTCTTTCTTACAGGGTTCACCAGATGTGCTACTGTGAAGCAAATAATTTACATAGCCAAAAGCTGCCACCAACATTTATGAGTGGATCAAAGTCAGGGCCCTGATCACTTAAAATAACTTCATATTAAATTGTTGCTGACTGTATAGAATATGTCTACCCTTTTATTTAAAGAAATAGGCAAAAGACAAATTAGTCTGTATCACTTCCTTTTTCGTTCTCACCACTGTATCTGTAACCTGGTGAAGTCATTTGGCAAAATGACAGAATAAGGGTTTATGATGACATGGAATGGTTCAGGAATGACTCCTGTGGATGCAGACAACAGGGCTTTAGGCCCTGCCAATCCTGTATTACCATCTAACTCCTGTTCTTTTATATTCACATCTAACATTAATCCAGTTAATTTGCAAGTGTAGGCAATCCCTAAAGCATTCATGTCTGGAGTGAATTTCATATGTTGGGGACCTACAATTAAGCATCAGATTGTGACAAAATGATGGCCAACTTGCAGCTCTGTGGCCCCACACTCCTGGCACAGTCATCTAAGTCTCTCTTTCTGGTCCTTATTGGCAAATTAGATTAATGCCTAAGGGTCAGGGAGATGTCTTTGTACTTTCTCAGTACCCAACAACTTTTTGGCCTTTTTGTTATTCTGTTAAGTACAAAACAAACTCCTTTAAATATAATTAAGGCTTTTCTAGGCATAATACAATTAATGTACATAATGTCTTTTTGATATGTTGATAGGCAGAGTTTACATTTAAAGCACTGTTAGATATTACAGGAGCTAACCTTTTAATGGGATACCTTCCTAATGGACATTAAAGATACCATTTAGCCCATATCCAAAACATTTATCCCAATGTTAAAAATGAGTTCTTACTGTAATTGAAGCTTGCTAGTTTGTAAAACTGAAAGTGCAAAGGCTTTTTACTAGAAATTCCCTTCTAAAAGCATGCCTGTTACAGTGTAACCTGAATTTGTCTGGTTCACCATGTTTTATAAACTTACCCATGTTCTTTGAACCCAGGTGCAGTTTTTCTCAAAGTCCTACACAATGGGATCCTCCTGTTTTCTGCCTTGAGCCTCTTCTGAATGGCCATGTATTCCACTGGCATTTAATTTAAGTAATCCCAGAAAGGCAAATGAAACTCAATCTCCTAAAATTTCTAGATGTCTCTTGCTGTTGGGAACATGCACTGAAATATTTTGTTGGCTTGTTCCCATCTCTCACTATGTTAGGTAGAAGGGGGGAACTATGCTTCAAATTCCTTTAACTTTTCCAGCCCCTTGTTCTTCTGTCAGATGTTTGAATCTGTATTCCACAATTGTCTTGAGGTATGTGATTGTGGGAAATACAATCCTGATCCACTAGCAGTCTCTTGGTCCTGACATTATTTAGCATATATGACACACAGGTAAATTAAAGCAGTTGCTCTCATTTTCAAAAGCTGGGCATTACTAGTATTGAGTGGTTGGCCGATAATCTCTCTTCCTTGCTGAAATCTAGCAGATATCCATTTTTGTTTGGTTTTTAAATCTGTTCTCACAAAGTGTTTATGCAGTTATCTTGCCTGAAGTATTAATTGCTTAAAATAATCATCCTATCTTGCTTGAAATAATTGAAATCAAGATTTCCCAAGCTTTCCACAGTATCACAATATCAGATATGTAAGCAGGAGGCATCTGGTTCTTCCTACCCTAGAAGAATGTGAAGGCAGCTGTAAATCACAAACACTCCCTTTCCCTACCCAGACTTCTTGTCCAATAAGATTTGGAGGAGTTTGTTCATTAGAACAGATGGAGCAAATTTATTTCAAGCCATGTATATACATACTCATGCTAACTTTAATTTAGTTAGCATGCTCAACAATAGTCTTTACCTAAAGATCTGTAAGTCTGTGCTGCAGGTGTGTAGAACGGCAGTCTAGTAGAGAAAGTTGATGTTTACTATCTAAATGGTTGAAAATTGATGTGCAGAATGGTCAGTAGATAACTGATTTTTTTTCAGACTAGCAGCAATGATCTTAAATTGCTTTTAGATTGGATATTAGAGGGAGCTTTCTCACTATGAGGTTCATAGTATCGTAGTGCTTAGGGTCAGCAGGGACCTAAACAGAGCACCAGGTCTGACCTCCTGTTCCAAGCAGGAATGGGTGCCAGGGTCATATCACCCCAGCCAAATATCTGTCCAGCCTCCTCTTGAAGACAAGAAGGTTGGTTAAGCATTGGAATAGGCTACCTAGAGAGGATGTGGAATCGCCATCCTTGGAAGTTTTTAGAGACAAAGACAAGCACTTGACTGGAGCACTTTAGATGGGGATGACTACTTTGCGCAGGACGTTGAACTGGATGACCTCAGAAGCTACCTGCCAGCTGTGAAAGCTGAGAAGTGGTAGAAGACACCTGTAGAATATCTGGGATAGGGAGCAGAAGTGAGAAGAGGGACTCTCATGTTGGGGAGAACTGGGT